CCAATTTTTCAAACCACGTCACAATCACCAGGAAATTATACCAGACATTCACGCAACTCCCCCCAAAAGAAAAAGAATAGAGGAGAATCCAAGGAGAGAGGACTCCCTAAGACAAAGATACTAGAGAAACAATATGGAATTTACAATTTAACAGATATAGAGTTAAGCCATATCGATTTAAAAGCCTTAAGCAAGGGTTTAAAATTTGCCCCGAATCAAAAAATGAATTTCTTTAATACATATATTGATGTTCAGAAATATATCCGCAAAATGACATTAAAAATATTTTTTTTTAAAAAGAGAGATAGAAGAAAACATATCCCCAAAAAATATAGATCATACTATTTTAGAACAAAAACAATTTAAAAAGAAATCACAGTTCTATCCAGTAGGGGATAGAGGCCCTTTCTTAGAAACTTTCAACAATATGGTGTGCCATGATTTAGAAAAATTGGAAAAAGAAAAAAACTTAGGAGAAAATAAATATAATATGAGTAAAGAAGAATCAGCAAGTATAACTAAATTACAAAAGATGGACACCATAGTAATAAAGGAAGCCGATAAAGGAGGAGCGATAGTCATTATGACAAAAGAATATTATATGAATGAGGCGTATAGAATTTTGGGAGATATAGAAACTTATATTAAACTTACAGGAGATCCAACAAAAAAATTTAATACCATTTTGGGATCCTTATTAGATCAAGCCTATAAAAACGATATAATCTCCAAAAATAATAAAGAATATCTTTTTAATAATTTTCCAATAATACCCATTTTCTACTTTCTCCCTAAGTTACATAAAAATCCAATAACCCCTCCAGGCAGGCCAATAATCAGTGGCATCAACTCTGTATCTGCTCATTTATCTGAATTTGTGGATCACTATCTTCAAAAATATGCACAAGAAGCACCTTCTTATTTGAAAGACACTGCACACATTTTAATTATTTTGGAGAGTGTAACTTGGGAACCCGACTATGTCTGGGTGACCATAGATGTCACGTCATTATATACAATAATAAAACATAACAAAGGTTTAGCAGCAGTGGAACAGATTATGGAGAAAGATGAAAGTATATCATCAAACTTTTGAAATTTTATTCTAAATAGTATCCATTATATCCTCAAACATAATTATTTTTTCTTTGATGATTCATTTTATCTTCAAACCACAGGTACAGCCATGGGGACCAGGTTCGCCCCCAGCTATGCAAACATATATATGCGGGATTGGGAGTCCAAGCATGTATGGGGTGGGCATGGCTGGGTAGCGAACCTGGTCCTATGGAAACGTTTCATTGACGACATAATTCTGATTTGGCGAGGTTCACATGAAGATCTGTTATCATTTATTGATTACATTCATCAAAATGACTATGGTTTAAAATTTACATATGAAATAAATATTACTACTATTAATTTCCTTGATTTAAGCCTCTTTATAGAAAACAATCAGATTCAATCTAAATGTTTCTTTAAAAAAACAGAGGGTAACAGCTTTATCCACAGAAAAAGTTGTCATAAAGATAAATGGTTGGAAACTATACCAAAAAGCCAGTTAATACGAGTGAGAAGAAATTGTACGAAGAACTCAGATTATAGAGAACAGGCTGAACATCTAAAAAATAAATTTGTGGCAAAGAAATATGAAACAACATTGTTAGATAAAGAAATCAAGAAATAGGAAAAAGAAATAGAAGAGATCTAATAACATTTAATCCCAAAAGATACTCTAATGATAATTATAATTTTTCTTTTACGACCCAATATAATATACAACATTGGAAAATAAAAAAGGTTCTCAATAAACATTGGAACATTTTACGTCAGGATCCTATCTTGGGTAAAGTGTTGCCAAAAAAAATACCAGTTATTTTTAGGAGAACAAAAAATTTAAAAAATATATTAGCACCAAGTTACGCTTTAAAAATTCCACATAAGGGTGTGACTCCAAACATCAGAGGTTTCAACCCTTGCAATTCTTGCAAAGCTTGTAAAAACCAAAAATTTGTACAAAAGAAAGAATTTATGAGTTCTACTACAAAGGAGAAATTTAAAATCAAATCTAATATAAATTGCAATACGAGAAATGTGGTATACATGTTACAATGCCCGTGTGGGAAACAGTACGTGGGGAGAACATGTAGAAAGTTAAAAGAGAGAATTTTAGAACATCAAAACAATATAAGAAAAAAATCAGTGAAACACATAGTACCATTACACTGCAATACTTGTAATAAATTTGATTGGCAAAGTTTTACTTTTTTAGGCATAGAACATGTGGACCCATATTGGAGAGGAGGAAATCTAACCAAAAAGCTCTCTCAAAGAGAGACTTTTTGGATTAACAAACTAAAAACACTCCAACCTTTTGGCTTAAACTTAGACATTGATTTATGGAGTTTCTTTGAAGATTGAGTGAATCACTAATTTTATATCCTGATGTTTGGGGAAACATTGCACTTTTCTCTCATTCGATAAATTAAGGATTTTTTTATATAAATTTTTGTATATTATTTTTCTTATTTTCATTTTTATTTTTTTATTTTCATATTTTATTTTTTATTTTTATTTCTATTTTTATTTTTATTCTTTATTTTTATTTTCATTATTATTATTATTTTTATTCATAATTTTTAATTTTTATTTTTCATTTTTATTTTTTATTATTTTATTTTTCACTTTTATTTTATTTTTTATTATATTTACATATTTATTTATCCTTATTTTAGGTTATAAATATATAAATTTATTTAATTTACCTTTAAGAAGGAGATAGAAAGTGCAATGTAAATGGGTTATATCACTTACATTATTGTTTATATATTACATATGTATGTATACTGTTCGCTATATTTTTTTAATTATCCAAGATGTTAGATCATATTATTATTCATGCATTTTATGTAATAAGATATTATCTCCATATAAATTATATGAAGGGAATGTGTATGACAAATAATATGTGAGAAAATGTTTTGTAAAATTTGTATAAAATGAAAATGGGATATATATATATGTATATGCATATGTGTCCACAACTATAGACCACATTGAGAATGTACATTTTTTATTCGGTTTGTAGTGCCATCCAGAGTATATTTTTTTAACTACCTGTCCCTCCCCTTTCCGTTTTATCCACTTGTCTGCATATGCTTTGAGTCAATGCATTAGAATAGGAGAAAGAGACAGACGATCGTGACCCACTTCCGGGTCTGTGGAACGCAAGGTGGAAGGCACGCGGTGTACGCGATGACGTCACTCGATTCCATACCGCCGAAATGAAAATTGAACACCAGCTGAAAGATTTCAAACATCAAATGGGGGTGTATATAAAGGACTGTGGGGGGGATATTGTTACTATTGCTGCTATTTCTGATTGCACTTTATTACACCAAGTCCCTGAGGAAGTCCAATTTCAGGACGAAACGCGTAGGACGTGTATGGTGATATGCTGTTTGTTTTATACCTAAATGTAAGTCATTAAATATTTTTTATCATATTCTGGAAGTGCACTACATTTTTGTACATTTTCTCTCTTTGAGACATATATATCTATTTGCTGATGAATTTGTGAGGAGGGACAACACACTGGATATTGAAAAACACCATTTAAAGCTGCTTTAACTCCATAAAGACATCATTCAAGGCTATCTTAACTCTTCAAAATTGTGAGTGACCATTTGTGATCGCACATCAATACCAGTCTCCTCACAGTTATACGCTATGTTTTTTTGTTTTATTTGTATTTAGCAGATTGTCCCCTATTTTTCTGTGTATATCTATTGAAGACAAGAGGAAGTCTTCGGGGATTCATCTAGATACTTCACCTTAAGATAAGGGAAGTTTTGGTTTGCTCCTATATTATATCATTTTCACTGGGGTTGTGTTCACATATATTGTTGTTTTCTCAGTGTGGTTGTGTGTCTGGGGCAATGTATTGGATTTGTGGGCAGTGTATTAGAATGGGAAGAGGGGCAGTGTGTTAGATTGGGTCTGCATGGAGGCGCTGAACACTCCCCATGTGAAAAATCAACCCAATGCTGTGAAAACCACCTACCTCTTTACATTGATACTTCAATCACACCTTAAAGAAACACTCTAAGCACCATAATCATAAACACTACATCTGACTGTACTGGTTATGGTGCCAGGAATGCCCTGACACGGTCTACATAGTAATAGGACAAATCATGATTTGATATTTATCTTTGACCACCCAAGTTTTCATGTCATTCAAAGGCCACAGTAGGCAACCCAAGGTATTGCAAATGGGGTACATACAGTCTTTTTTAGTAGCCACTTTTTTTTTTTTAGAAAAACAAGTTTTCATGTCATTCAAGGGCCGCAATAGTCAACTGAAAGTACTGCAAATGGGGTATATATCGAGTCTTTTTTAGTAGCCACTTAGTCACAAGCACTGGGCAAAATTAGCATTAAAATAGTTTTTTTGCATTTTTCACACACAAACAAATATGAACGCTGAGTGTTTAATAGAAAGGAATTAATTAAATTAAAATGTAGAAAATTGCACTTAAAACTTCTAGACTGAATGCTTGGTTCACATAATATATTGTGTTGGTTTACTTCTGCATGTCAAAATATGGTTTGCTATTACTGTATCCAGCCTGCAGCATATGTTGGCTCAATATAAATAAATTATAAGAATAATAAAAGTATCTTAAAGTATGTGTCAGAGGGATCAACAGCATCTCATATATAAGAAAGGCTGAATTATGTTCCCATCTGTCCTTCAAGTTCCACTCCTTTTCATCCTTGTCTCTCTAACCGGACATTGTTCGTAGACTATAAACTTGTCTGGTCTTTTTGAAGACAACACATTACCTTTTAGATAGATTGTAAAGCACCCATTGTGTTGGTAAAATTTCAAGACTGCAATGATAACCTCTGTTTTTTACCTACTGTTTTATTTTATAACTTGTTTCTAACATGTGTTATTCATACACAATACATAATGAAAAGAAAACATAAAAAAGCCAGACCATTGGAAATGGTAACTCTTGTTTGTAAAGCAAAAATAATGAGAACATAAATCACTAAAAGAGCATGCCACTGTAACTAAATGGCATTCATTCATAACCTCTTGAAATTAACATTCAAGGATAATTCACAAAATAGTATTTTGTCCTCATTCATCTCATTTTGCTAAAATCTACTAGAAGAGCTAATATAATGAACTGAAATGCAGTGCAATGATGATATTATGGCAAAGCTCTATTCACATATGTACACCCAGGTGGCTACATAGGTCATTCTGCGTGAGATTTGTTAATATGTGCATTTACTGTGTGCAGCAGAGTGGAATCCCAATTAAAGCACATGTACATGGTGAGGTGTTCCATAATGATTTTTGTAAACGCTCCTTTATATCAACTATTATCAGAGTAGATGTGCAGTGCTCAAAATAAGCAGATGAAATGCATAGCGCCAACTTCCTACTGGATGCAGCCCTAAGACAATATAAAAGAAGGCCAGGAAAACACAAGAACACGTTGATTTTTTAAATTTTTTTTACTATTCTAAAAAAAATTATCATTTTTTTATTACTATTTACATGAAGATCAACTGGAAATAATAAAAAACAAACAAAACAAAAAAAAACAACATAATTTATATATACAAGTTTAGGTAAAAAAACAAAAACAAAAAAACAACCCGACAGTAAAAAGAAAGTGGACATATATATGTATACACAATTTTGGCTTCAATATACTTTTACACAGTGGGACATATCTCTAAAGTTGTATGTACTTCCAGTGCCCCCTATAACAGATATTGTTAGAATGCCAGGCTTTATTTTTTCATATCTTCGCCTTGTTCCTGTTGCTCCTTCTCCATTCTCATTTCTCTCAATTCCTGTCTGTACTTCCGTTCAATAAAACGCTTCTGATGAGCCATCTGGGGGAAGTTATCTGGAGAACGAAGAAGAATGACGTCACCTATGTTATGTTTCTAAAGAACCATTCCCTGCTGGGTGTATAGTAAAATTCATGAAGCAGAGCAGAAACGGCAACATGTCCTGATTTAACCACATGAGGAACACGAATTGCCCATAATTGGAACAAGTGTACTATGTCCAGGAAAATATACTTTGCAAGCATTGTGTAGATTCCGGTAACAAACATATGGCATCTCTACAGAGCTAGTCTGGCTTTGTCTTGTAAAACAAAGAACTGTCTGTGTCCATAGGTCTTTAGAGAAGAAAGTTCTCCAAGCATGTTTTAAATGAGAGCACAGAGATTTTAACAAGAATAAAATTTAACACAAAAAAAGCTGAAGGAAAAAAATAAAACAACAAATGACAAATCTTACATTTATCCAGTGCGTCCACAGCAGCCCCCATCTCAGCCTGCTGAATGCTGCAAGAAAAAAACTCCAATTAACCTAATTACAATCATCAGCTTTAACTCAGCTCTTAAATTGTTTTAAGTGGCAATAAGACAGGAAAATGAAAAAGAGATATGCAGTATTTCTTGAGGGTCTTTATATATACATAAATATAGCAAACACTTTAAATGATAGCTTTGTAATTGCTTTACGTTTCTCAAGTATTTTGAAAAAGAGCCATCCATTACGTAAAGTCCCTAGTTGCAACCTATTTTTATACTTTTTTCCTGTGTAAATATTTAACTGTTTAAGTAACATATGTGTGCTCGACATACCGGCACTCAAGGGATTAAAATGTTCCAGAGAACTACGCTAATGTTTCTGATGGCCCAGTGTAGCTGTATTTATCTACCCTGCTAAACAAATGAATTTCAGGATTCCGATTAAGTACTTATAAGAGAAAACCTTTGGAACAAATGCACCTGCACACAATACATAATCCTTTGTTCACTCTAAAAAGCTCTGCACATAATTACCTGCTCATCATTCTTGCATAATGACAGGTAAACCCCTTAATCTACACCAAAAGCAGGAACAAAACGGTACAAAAAATGATCTTGTGCAGAATCCTTACTAATACAAATGTTTTCCAACCATCCAGAAAGAATGCTAACAGAATTCAGTCACAGATGGGTAACAATAGAGCCTGTCAAAGAGCACAACAAAAGGGATGCAACATAGATTTGCTGTCAACCTTTCCTTCAAATATGTCATGGCGGTTCACAGATGTATATAGCTTTGTTAATATGTATGTAATAAACTGACAATATGTGCATGATTTTACTAATTACAGCTGACAGACCCAGGTTAACCCAAAATGCACCAGAGGAAGGAAAATACTTTGGAAGTGAAAGACAATCACAAAGTGCAAATGGACTTTTTAAGATGAATGCTTTAGGGAAATTCGCCCCAAACGTAAAGTGCAGGAGAAGAGAAAGGTGCAAGGGGGCAGTCTAGGGTAAGAATATAAAAATAGGCCAATGCTGATAAACTACAAGTGACTTGCAGGGGTACATGGAGCTTTAAAGGCTGTAATTTAGGCATTAGCAGGTCAGTGCAAGCCTTTAATGGGTAAGAGAAGGGTTATTAAAATGATTTGATTCAAAAAGGAATGACAAATGGCAAGGTTTTACATTTCCACAAAAAGGGACAGGGTACCTGCTCCAAAATAACTTAATTAAGATGATGTGGTTTGGGTTTTTAGAGGGACTCATTAAACTGGAGGTAACTGGAGGTAACTGACTTGCTGCTTAATGTGAGACTACGAACTACACTGGTTCGGTTTCATATACAGTACTTGCAAGTGAGATGTAAAAAATAGTTACTTAGATCTCGTAAAAAAAAAAAAAATAATGATAAATAAATAAATAAATGTTAATATGGTAGAACGGGTGAAAGTATTTTTAATGTGATGCTAATTCAGGAACCTTCATGCAAAAAACAAAACGAAAGCAAAAACAATCAAGCCACACAACACAAAAATGTTTACCTTGGTCCTTTACCGCAGCCAATACGTTCACCTTTGAAATATACAGCAACGGTATAAGTTCTGGCATGGGAAGGTCCAACAGTCTGAAGTGTTCTGATTCAAAGCAAGAATGAAATTATTATTTTATTTAATTTTTAATTTTGATTTTAATTGTCGATATACACTACTTTGACCGCCATTTATTAGTACAATATTCATATGCTCATATGCTACTAGGTTAGTGTTTAATACTTTCAGTCACAACATGTCACACTCCAAAGATATCCACAATATGTCTCACACATTAAATGAACACTATAGGATCAGGAACACAAACATATTCCTGACAGTATAGTGTTAAAACCACCATCATCACCACCATCAAAACCACCAACCTAAATATAGTAAAATCTTGAACGGGAATATAAAGACTACAGAGACAGGGCAAGCCTGACCTAGAAGGCAAAAGGGACTAAGTGGGTAATATGGGCGTAACCAAAACAAATCATTTAAGAAAATAACTAAAACAGTTTTTCAAGAGTAGAACCCAAATGTTAAAAACACCTTGGATATCAACTCTCAAAAACACATGAGGTTACCCACATGAAGAGTTAACAACTCAGTATAAATAGTACAATTACAAGAACTTAAATCTTTAATAGGCAAATCACATTAGACAAATAACCCAACATAAAAAGTGAAGCAAACAGTGATAAAAAAAAAGTGTAAGTGCCAAGAGAAAAAGTGTTAAAAAGGGAGAAATCTATGAAGCCTGCCAGATCTGTCCCATGTATAACTAACTTGGATCTATCCAGGTATAAGGCAAATGCTCCAGTATCTATTTGAGATAATTTTATAAATTGAATGTATTTGAGATAATTTTATAAATTGAATGTATTTGAGATAAAAGTGTAGCCAGTGGAGCAATTCTGCAACAAAAGGAAACAGGTCGGTGTGTTCACAGGATAACCAGATATCCAGTATAAAAGGTATAGATTCAATGGGTATAAGAAAGGGAGACAGGTGTCAGTATAAAGACAAGAATGGGGCTATTTGAAATAAATTCCAACCGTATATAGGGAATTCTATAAACCGATTAAAAGGAAAAAAAAAGAGTGTAGGGAGCAATAGAAGATACCCCACCCCTACCAAATCAGAGAAAACATTACTCAGGGTGTGAAAGGTAAGGGTAAAAAAAATTCCTTCAAGTGTTACTTAAGTGTAAAGAAAGTATCTGGGAAATAATAGACAGTATAGAACCTAACAGTGTTATATTAGAGTAATACCCCAACTAGGACCAAAGCATGCCATTTCCCTATTAAGAAATAGGGAACACTATATTTAGAACTAATCTCCCCACACTGAAGGGATATCAAAGTTTCCAGTCTGCCCCAGTCTCTTATTCTAACACTATAAAGTGAGACAAAACAGCACTGAATACCTATGCTTACCATACAAATGGCTAGCTGCTTCAAGGCAGCTCTAAGATACAAAACAGCTGGCTACATAGAAGACCCTATAAAAACAGATACATTGGTTATCTTTCTTATTATTTACTTTTTTTTGATTTACCAGTTTGGAACCCCTCACTCTTGCTGGGTGTGGGATCCACTCCTCCTTGTATTTTATAAAAACAGATAGCCTAACAGCAGCATCTTGCTCGACACGCGTTTCGGTGCTGTATTGCGCCTTTATCAAGAGATTGTTGACAGGGGGAGCCAGCCGGGTATTTAAATGGTATAAATCCGCCCCCCAAATGACATCATGTGGCCAATCAGGTGCAGCGACGTCAGTGGGGCGGAGATAGCAGAAGAACAGTGACATATTGCAGCCAATCTAATGCAGTGACGTAAGGGTGGGCCGAGGAAGCCCAAAGGGTAGGGAGTTGGAACGGCAGGCACTGAAACAGCCTCCATAATTATTATTATTTATATAGCGCCAACAAATTCCATAGCGCTGTACAATGGGATAAAACCATGTTAACACCTTAAGGCTTAGAAGCATCCACGGATGTGCATGATTCATATTAATAACAGATATGAAGCTCCAAAGCTTTATTAGGACAACATCTTAATGTTATAGTGTAAAGTGCAGTATAGTATGATATAAAACCTGAGTAATGCTGAAGGTTAATAGCCCAATAAGAGTACAGTATGGTAAGTACATATATTAACCCCTTAACGACCGAGGATGGTTCAGGACCGTCATCGTCATTTTTGCATTGCCGACCGTTGACTGTCTTGAACCGTCCTAACGGTCTTATGTACTTACCCGATCGCCGTCGTTCCCCCGGCGGTGATCGGTGTTGCTCCCGGTGTGGGGAGACTGCCTGCAGCCCAGACAGTCTCCCCACATCGGATTAGGACCCCTGTGGCAATGTGATCGCTCAACAGAGTGATCACATGGTCACAATAGGTGTCCATGTGTCTGCCTGCAGGGGGACTGTCTGTGCTGACAGGCAGTCTCTCCCTGCTAGTGCAAAATCATAAAAAAAATTTAAGTTAATGTTAATAAAAAAATTAAAATTATATATGTGTATGTATATAATGTCATACTAAGTGTATTTTTATATTAATATGTACATATATTAATATAAAAATACACTTATAATTCAATTACACACATAA